CACACACACACACACACACACACACACACACACACACACACACACACACAGGACCTCATATGAGGCACATTATTTTAATTGACAAACAAAACAGTGGTGTAACAGTAATATTTAAGTGAAACTATACTGCCACAGTGGGCACGGTTACATTTTTAAAACAATATTGGAAGTTCTACAGTATTCCCCGCTTGTATCATAATACCTAAACTGGGGTAAAACAAATTCTTTGAGGAAACACTCTTGAATATTAATTCTGCCTTATGCTCTTTAAAGTGTAAATTAGGTTAGAAAAATAAAAAGTTTTTAAAAGTAGAAAACTGCACTTGTCAAACTTCTGCTTTAGGGAAGAGCACAGCTTTGATCTGTTCAGCCTTTCAGTGATGAAGTAAAAGTAGTTTAGATGGTTTTCGGTTATAGAGCTGATTTCCTCTTTGCTTGTTGTGTTCTTTGATAACATAATAATATCCTGTCGTATATTAGTCATCACGTCCGAATCCAAGTGGAACTTTTTCGAGGCTGATGTCAGCAGTTACTTTTCACCGGCTAGAGCTTGAACTCAGCCCTACTGAGCCGCGGTGTGTTGCAATTGATACTTGCAACAAAAGTTTAAATTATGTTTTCCACATAAGAACTGTCGGAACTATTTCAGCTCGCTGAATGTGGCTAAACGTGAARCCACCACTGAAGACTACCAGAGAAGCGAGAGCGCCACCGCCTTATATAGACGCCTAAAAATAACCAACCAATCAGCGGTGAGCAACAATGAGTCAAACCAATCAGAGCGGGGAGAATCCGAACTCGCAGGCTGCGATTGGTCGAGCGTGATGTCATTTGCGGTCGCTTGGGCTGCTCACCGCTGATTGGCCAAGACGCTGCACGTGATCCGAGCGCCAGGATGAGGGGGGGTCGGGCTCCGAGGTTTGAATAGGGAAGTTTGCAGAGCGCAGTTGTCCGTCATCCAGTCTGGTGTGTTGTGTTTGCAAATATCTCGAGACGGAGCGGAGAGGAGAAGGAAGTGTGGCGGACTGAAGGACGAGGACTGTTGTGGTTACTGCTGCAGAAAACAAGTCGCTCGCATCGCAGGGAATCGATTTTTATCCCCCTTTTTTTGTGGGTGTTGTATATTTTTGGCCTGAAAGCGCAGCTGTGTTAGTTTATTTTTTTATATATATACAGACAGAGAAGTTCGGCGGAAAAAAATGGATGTTTTACCTATGTGTAGTATTTTTCAAGAACTTCAAATAGTTCACGACACGGGGTATTTCTCAGCGTTACCGTCCCTGGAGGAGTACTGGCAGCAGGTGACTATTATGACTTATTTTGTCTTCTTTTAATCGGGCTGCTTGTTCGTGAGCTTGTAAGCGGAACTGAGCTGCTTTCATGCTCCTGTCATAGAGCGCAGCGCCGACTTCTTTATTTACTAAAAATAAAATAAACCATAGACATATGTTTATAACGGTTGTAAATGCGTGTGTCCGTTATTTAGACGGAGCCCGTTCGCTCGGTTCATTTTATTATCAGTTTCGTTTTGAAGTTTTCTGGCAGTGGATCAGTGTGTCAGTCTGACAGCTGGAGGCTGTGCTGCGTTCAAGATGAATGGGAAGAGAGGAACTCAGTCAGCAGCAGCAGCTTGGTGCCTTTTTTTCCCCCTCTCCTGTACATATTAGGAGCTTCTTCCCCTTTTTTTATTTATTTTTTTTTTTGTGGCCCTATGATGCTTTCACTCTAAAGAGAAGTGATGTGAGAGGAAGTGCAATTTAAAGMCAGAGCGAATCTGGTGTGGTGGTTTAAGTTGCATGAATAAAACTCATCTAGAGCTGATCACTTTGATTCATGACCTTTTCTGCTCTGTGTCATTTATTTCTTTTCACAAAACTGCCTCGTTCCTAGATTGAAATGGGCTGCACAGCTGTGACACAATGAAATGTCAGGTTTGGCCAGTTCCTCGCTGAAAGCCTGGAGGGAATCAAAAAAATCTTTATTCCACATCTGCCTTGTCACACCTACTATCTCCGAGCACCGTTTAATGAACACCTTTTTGCTTTTTAACGGGTTTCCCATGAGCAAACTGCTGTGTGTGTGTGTATATATAAATATATTCTATATTTTCTTTTCCTCTGGAGCTGCTGAGGAAGGATGTGAGTGCATGTCAGTGGCTGGAGGAGAAGCAGCTGAATGGCCCTTTGAGGCTGCAGGGGGGAAGTTGTGCAGCTTCCTTAAAAGGACTCTAAAAATGAGTTCAGTGAGTCATGGTGGAGTGCTGAAATGACACCGCTGGAGCTCAGGGTGCTGAGCACGGCTCGCTCCAGGACAACGCACGAGTTCGAGGGAGGAGTATCCGAGGCGAGGAAGAGCTCGATGGAGTGCAAACTACTGACTTTTGTCCTTTTATTCATTTAAAGTCCGCGCTGTCAAATCTGCAACACGAGGTGTTGTCGAAGTCACTCGTCTTGTTGTGACGTAGTTCCGTTGTGTTGTCAATTGGGGGTGCAAAATGATACAAAAATGCACCCAGATTGTAATACTTGTCTTGTTTTCACTCACGGGTTCTTGAAGGTAAAAGCCCGATTGGTAAAAAGTGCAAGAATTGCTGGGATTTCCTAGTTTGCACTTCTTGCTCTAAGCAAATATTACACCACCAAAGCATATTTGGGATGTGCACATGCATGATTTAAGAGGATTTTCCTCTCTGAAGCTTTTCGCTTGTGTGAGCGAGCCTCCTCATATTTCTTTTTTCCTTTTTTTTTTTCTTACTGTGTTTTCTCAATTCTTTGCAGACCTGCTTGGAGTTGGAGCGCTACCTACAAAGCGAGCCCTACGTCTCTACGTCCGACCTGAAGTTCGACAGCCAGGAGGACCTCTGGAGCAAGCTGATTTTGGCTTGTGGGGATAAGACCAAGGCTGAGTGCGACCCGAGGCTTCCCCCGGCCCACGAGGAGGACAATCAGGACAGCCACATCTTGGACAGCAACAGCGTGAATTCGGACGCCAGCAGCGAGGCCTCGGACAGTTCTGAGGAGCTCTCGCCGACGCACAGCTTTACCTCCAACCCTCTGGGTTCTGTATTGGTGGGCTCTGGACCTTTTAGCCCCTCCGTCATCAGCACTCCGCCGTCCTCTCCGGAGGCGGGCGCCGTCGTGAACGGCTGGGTGGCCTCGCACGCCGAGCTGCACTTGCCGGTCAAAATCAGGAGCGGCGGGACGACGACGGCGGCGGCAGCGGTGGCGGCGAAGGGTTCGGACAAGACGGGACTCTGCGGCGAGGCCTCTCCGGACGGCCGGAGGCGAGTGCACAAATGTCACTTCAACGGGTGTCGCAAGGTTTACACGAAGAGCTCGCACCTAAAAGCACACCAGCGCACTCACACAGGTGAGTTTCAGTCTGACGTGGCCACATGTGATCAGTGTAAACAGAGAGCAGAAACCCGAGGAGGAGGGGCTGTTCTTTATTTTTGTCTGTTTAAGGTTAAAATAAAAATCAGGTTCTTATTGAGGGAACACCGGACGTCCAGCTAATTCAGTCATCCACTTAAATGACATTGTCCAGCCATTGTGTAATGTAATTAAAGGTCCACGTTGCACGCTGTCCTCAGCTGGAGCTCTGCGAGCATTAGCTCTGCATGGCTGGATATCTAAACTGTGACCTAATCTGTGTGGAATGTGACTGACTGAGCCAGGCAGTGAGAGAATGAGAGAGGGAGAGAGAGAGAGAGAGAGCAAGGAGGAGGAGGGGGGTGTTTCACATGGGAGATAAAAGAACTTGAAAACAGATCGAGTTTCACCATGGGAAAGGGGTGAATGGGCGGGGAGAACGGGGGGCGGGCTGCCGGAAGGCCTTGAATGGTCATTTGAATGTTTTTGTATTTCCAATTAGTGGCGTGACGTCTTACGTCGTGGCTTTTATTTTCCGTGTTTATTTTTAAAATGTCCACCAAGTAGCCACCCCTGTTGGCTTTGTCGGCGTGCTGCAGGTTGCGTCGAAACAAAGCCGAGCCAACAGGTTTGGTGGAATTTGAGCGGCTTGTCAGCACCTATGTTGTCATCAGCCCACCCAAGCCTCCAGGCTGATTGATTTGAATAATAACAGAAACCTTAGTGGGAAGAATGAAGCGTTGTTGTTGTTGTTGTTGTTGTTGTTGTTGTTGTTGTTGTTGTTGTAAGGTTATTTTTTGGGTTTTTTATTTATATTTTTGCGTTCCATTCATTGGGTCTTGTGTCTGCTCTTCAGGTGAAAAACCGTACAGGTGTTCGTGGGAAGGCTGCGAGTGGCGCTTTGCACGGAGCGACGAGTTGACCAGACATTTCAGGAAGCACACTGGGGCCAAGCCATTTAAATGCAATCACTGTGACAGGTAAGCTGGGCTGTTAAATAATACTGCTGCTCTTTTTAATTTTTTTATTTTCTTGTGAGTCATCCAAGTCACGGTGCAGATCTGTACAGATTAGACGCATTGTTGCACTTCACTCAAGCAGCCAAAAAATTTGAGCTTGATGAGGGTAAGATAAGTTAAGTCACTTAAGCTAATAGTGACAATAGGAGGAGGAAATCTGCTCATTTCTAATTTCTCCATAACTAAATCTCATCCTTCACTGGGTCTGTGACTGACCTCCTTCGTCCTCTGTGTCCCCAGATGCTTCTCCAGGTCTGACCATCTGGCTCTTCACATGAAGAGGCACATCTAAAGCAGGACAGACACCACAACCAAGCAACACAACAGAGGGGAAATCCTTTTTTCTCTTTTCTTTTTTTCTTCTTCTTTTTTTTCCTTAAAGTGGAGAGAAAAAAAATGCCATCTCCCGACTGACCAGTCTCTTGGTTGAACTGTCCCAGAGCAGAGTGGCGGGAGTGTGTTCCAGCCAAAGCATGCCGTTTTGCACCATACTGAAAACCCAGTGCCTCTGGGACCCGTCCTTTTATGGAGAGGGGCGCTCTGAAGGTTGACTGTTGCAACAAGAGGACAAAAATCATCATTCGGGTGGGGAAGGAAAGAAATGTTTTTTAGTTAAAAAAAAAATATATAAAAAACACACAAAAAAAATTAAAAGCAAGGACAAAAGCATAGAGAGTGAATGAATCGTACGTATGGTGCATGATGTTTTGGGGACATTTCCTGGACAGCAGATACACTGGTACTTTACAAACCTGTCTGAAGTAAGCATGTGTGCACTGTGAATGTCTGAGATTGGCTGACTGGCCCCCACCTTCCCCCGGGAGGAGACACGAAAGGAGGAGGAGCGGGATGACGAGGTGGATTGGTGCGGGGCTGGTACCAATGTTGCTGTGGACCGAGTGGGTTTCTGAAGGGGAAACATTACTGCTGTGTTTTCCCCGGTGGCAGTGTGAGGATGAGTCTGGCACCCAGACTCTGAAATGGAGGGGGGGAACGCTTCTCTGAAGCTTCTGAGACCTCGGGTCAGACCAAAGTGGGAGAGAGACATGTCACCTTCTGGTCTGTGACCCAGGGTTTGAAACCCCCCCTCCTTCCATCAGGTCACTATATGACAGAAGCTTCGTTTGGTGTTTTTTATTTTATTTTATTTTTTTATTTTTATTTTTTTTGGTGCAGCTACTAAATGTGCAATGTGTTATGTAGCCTGGTTTATAATTTTTTCTTACAAGCTACAAAGCCCATTTTGTAGTCCCGACTGTATAAGCTGTGTGCTTAGGGGTATAACACGACTATACTATAACTTCGATATCATAGACAGGTGTTGCATGGTTCTAGGGTTTGTTCATTTCCACTGTAATCAGGACTGCAAATAGTTTCAATAAAAGTGCAGCTAAAACGGTTAAATGTTACAATGTTGTACATAAAGCCTTGTTGATTTTTTTCGATTTTCACATTTTCATCCATTTCTTTCGTTCTGGTTTCTATTGATGTGTACACTACTCCAAGTATTTTTTTAAACAAATGCTTATATTTTGTTTGTTTTTTTTAATCTGTGCAATTCTAACAATGTTGAAGTACTTATGCCGAGCCACTAGGTGGCAATAATGTCCACATTAGCATTGATATTCAGAGAAAGAGAACCTTTGTAACTTGGCTCAAAAAATGTCCAAAAACAACTAGCCTTTTTTTTTTTTTTTTTGAATACTGTTTACAGTTTCCTCTCCGTTTTTTAACTTTTTCATCACACGATCAAAATGTAATGTCAACAGAAATGGGATAAAGAAATACGTGKGAAATGGTGAGAACTGCTCTATTGTTGTTTTGGTTTCTGGGGCACAAAGTGAAAGTGACCGCGCACAAAATGGACTGAATTGTCATTATGTCTGGAAAACCTCCAGTATTTTGAATCCACTCACCAATCAACGTTTTTTTTTTATTTGTAATTCCACTTTGGAAAACTATTTGAATAAAACAACCTGTTTGTGCTTCAAAGACACAAACTGAGCAGAAAAATCTCAGTTTTTTGAAAATATCTGGAGTAGTGTAGATTCATTCATTGAATGCCTTGAAGACTAATTTTTATTTGCATATTTTTTAATTGCGTACTTACTTTGTATCTAATAATGCACTGTTGACCTTAATGGTGCCTTATGCAAGTGGCTCAACCCCCTGTGGTAGCTGAAGAGCGCTTCCCCCCACCCCCCCTCCAGGGAAGTCACGTTTGTTGTCCGGGTGATTTGACAAGCTCCATCAAGGCTCAATTACACCCAGTGTCCTGCGATAGTGACATAATCTGACTGTGTTAGAAAATTAAGTGTTTGCAAAAATACAGATTCTCAGTTGACTGCCTTTCTTTGGTTTTGTGCGTTTCAGTTTGAGCACCAGTGTTCTTGATCATCGAGTTGAATTAATTCTGATTATGTATATACGACAAATCTGTATGAGAGCACTTAAATACATTTATCGATCAGGTTTTTTCCTGTGCTGAATGTAGTGGAGTCTTATGTCACGCAGCACAAGGGTACAAAAAAAGACTAAGAAATACACTGGTGGTCTTTCATCCACAGTGTCCTTTCCCCACCGATATCACCCTCCCCCTGCAAGTGGGACTGAAGAAAAAGCTAAAGATTTATTGTAATTAACAGGCTGCAGTCGGACAGGCCTCGCCTTGTACTGCCTCTCAGTAATGAATTGCTAAAGGCTTTGTTGGCATGGAATCTGTCACAGACTGCTGACTGTGTAGGTTGGTTATTGACCTGTCTGGAGCGCGTTGTTTTAGCCAAGCTGCAACAGTATTATGGAAACCACAGAGACGAGTAAGCGACTGGGTGGGGTGGGGGCTCATCAAGCATTGACAGCGCGCATTGAAATTTTGATATAAAGGARGAAATGAAAAGTAAGAAGAGCTGCATCTTCGTTATTGGGGATGAATTGTGGACGAAAATCAGAGCCCGAAACAACGGTGGGGATTAAAGTTATTAGCGCTTGAGGATAAAGAGATCTTCGCCTCCCACCCCAGGTTGGCGACCTCGCTGTAGGAATCCGATGTTGCAGCAAGTCACGCCGTGACACCCCCCCTCACACACACACACACACATTCGATGTATGGATTTCAGATGAGCGAGCGCAGGAGGCAGAATGAGTACAAGCTTGAAACTGCTTATTGCAGTGGATTTGGGAGAGCTGGCGATGCCTCTCGTGGGCAAAGAGCAGCAACAGCAGCATCCATTCTGTTAAAAAAAGCAGCAGCCGATACTCTTCAAGTGATAATTGAGCCTTGATTTAGCTCCGTTTTTTTTCTCACATCTTTTACACTTTTCCATCATCTCTTTCATCTCACCACCTCAGCTGTTCTCTCTCTCACACACACACACACACACACACTGCTCTTTGTTCTCAACTGAATCTTTGTACAAAAAAAAAGAAAAACTTTTGTAAAATTGTTATGTTTATGCTTTCTGAAATTTTTATTTGAAATTGTTTTGCAAAATTGTTATATTTCTGTATGAATGTATTTTTTATCGGAATAATAAGAAATTCTTATCTGAACGTTGGCTCGCTTCCTTYTGTGTCATTAGTCAACTCCTAGTTTTATTATCGTAAAAGCTTTTTTTTTTTCTTTTCTACGGTTAGACGTAAACAAATGCTTCTCATTCTGTGGTCGGCACTTTGAGAAAATTAGACACACAGATACGGTATGCGTGGGCAAAGTTAGTCATCAGTTTAAAAAATGTTGATGCTGCACCTGCCAGAAACCTTTTGTCCGCCTTCGGCACTTTTCAACGTCCCGGAGAAGTTTCCCGTGTCTTCTGCTGAGGTCTAAACATAAAAAAACTTTAAAAAATCAGCCTGCTTTCTTCTCAGAACAAGCTAGTTCTCATCAAAGATGCATAAATAATTTATCTCCATCTCTTGCAGCCTGTGGCATTCAGTTTTGGAGTCGCTTTTATTCATTTTGTTAGACAATTATTCGACACRGACAATACAGAACAGTGGATAAACCAAATTGGCTGGTTTAGATCCAACCAAAATAATAAGGTAGTGAAAAAAAACTCCTTCTGTGCATTAATGGTGRTGACCTCAAATGGGCAGGCAACTTATTATGTCTGATTTCCAGTAAAAGCCTGGTGCTTTCTAAACGAAGCTTTCCCTCCTCGGTAATTAAGCCTCGCAGCTTCAGAGTGTTGAAAAGGGTTGTTTTAGTGCCTGAAATGCTGAAGCTCCTTGATCTCCCCAAACTGCTGCCCTGTTTGATTTTAGTCAACATTTCAGCAGCTGTGCGTAACGCTAAAAAAAGCAAAAGAACATTCAAATCAGAGCTACATGATAAAACCCTAAAAATCTTGTTTTGAACCCTTTGTAACAACACGAGTAGAACCCCCTCTTAAGAAGTGGGCCATCGTGGGTAAAGTTTCCCATAAATCTGGTACTTGGATGACATTTTTCCTTTGATGTGTCCGGAACTAACRTCCAACTTATTCATTCCCACAACGATACTGTAACAAGGTCCCAAACCAAAATGATTACTGGAAACAATCCATTATTTTGAGATGTCTCAGGGGGTGAAGATGCACACTGTAGAAAGGTTTGAAAGTGTAAATGGCAGTACTTCCAGCTGTACTCTTCAGGATTTAAAAAAAAAAAAAACTACAATTCATTATTTTTTTTTTATTTGAAAAACCCAAACATTAGTCACCGGGGATGTGTCATAACCTAAAGCTAATACTTGAAATAACTGTGGAAAATTCATTGGGGTGGGCTGTACCACCCCCAAGGGTTTTGTTAATTTCTCYAAAGCCTATTCTCAGCTCGGCAAAACATCTTAATAAAAAGTCAAAATAACATGACTCTGTTGAAATTGCTCCCTGTTCTAAAATGTAAAATCTTAGTGGAACTTTTCGGTGTGTTTCACTGATGTACAGAACACAGTGCCAAAGGTTTGTAACCAAACTGATTCATTTTACTGTAACTGAAAAAATGAAATGAAACTTCCACATTTAGTACAATGAAAGCGTTTGGTGCTGCGTGCCTTCTCAAACGCTTGTGCTCACATTCCTACCAAAGGAGAAAGAATGAAATGAAAAACAGATTTGTTGACATTTTTGTCAATACATTAAATGTTACAACTGATAAAGGAAATTCTATGAAAGTGTTTCTTTTTGTTATGATTAAAACCTAACTAAAAGTAGAAAATGGAAATGAGCTAATTATTTTTTTATTGTTAACAACAGAATGTAATGTATTTGCTAAATCACATATTTCTGAATTGCAACTGAAATGCATTTATTTAAAAAGCGACAATGTTTAATAATCGACATTTGAATACTTGAGTTACCGAAATTCCAATTTTGACTGGAAATCACCTTGCCTGAAAATAATAATAAATACAGCAATAAAAGTAAATTAGAACACTATACAATAAATAAATAAATAAATAAATAAATAATGAATTAAATCAATATTAAAATGCCTTTCTCCATTGAATTCAACTAAACCACATTTCAGTTTCATTTAGGGAAAACCAGTTGTAAATCTTATTGTTCTGCTCATCAGGCTAACTTAAACTGTGTAGCAACATGTTTCCTAAAAAAGGATGCTAGGGGTACTTTCCAAACTTTTTATGTGGAAGCTACTCTAGACATGTTGGATTTTGAGGTTGTGAGTATCTGATGATGCTAGACAAAAATTTCAAGCACTCTAAAGGTAAACCAGTTGTAGATTGAGATCCTATGATTAAATTCTGGGAAATTCATTAAAATGAGACATTTGGCAAATAAATAAACAGAGTTTACTTATTACCAAAGTGCCAAAGATTTAGGCAAAAATCTTGCATTGTCTAGTTTAGAATATCACCACATTTTTACCTCAGTAACTGTCAAACTAGTTGTAACTATTTTTGTGGCAGCCATCTTAAACTGAAGTGACATCAGAAGATGCATTTATTTTTAATCCATCCGGTTATTAATGGAATATTTTGCTAMCAAACAGTGAGAGGTTAAGTCTGTATGGTTAAATGGGGGTAAGTCCCCTAATAGAACGACGCATACAGTCATTTTTGGGTTAGCTAGGGTCAGCTAGCTGTGGTAGCCATCTTGAATTGGATCGAGTTGTAGATGTATGTTCARTAATTATTTTCTGAAAGTTTCAGTAAAATACATCAAGTGGTTTATGTAAAGGTGCAAAACCATTCTTTTTTTTCTTCTTTTTTTTAGGGCTGTGAAATTAATCGAGTTAACTCTGATTAATTTTAGTGCTGCATGGGCATAGATTAAAAATTTTCATCACTATTAAAATTTACAATCGCTTTACTGTGGCTGAATGTGTAGTTTTGTATATTGCAATGCACTCAGTGCATGCCAGGTCATGTTTGTAAAGGAGAAGTGGTTCTCAAACAGTTTACCTGGATAAATAAAGGAAATAAAAAATAAAAAAAAACTCCATGTGTAACACATTATGTACAGAGACACAWTAAGTTTAAGTTATTAAGTTTAAGGTTAATCGTGATTAATCGTGATTAATTCACAGCTGCCTTGGAATTAATAGATTAAAAAATGTAATCATTTGACAGCCCTAATGTTTTTGTCAGGCAAATGTCATGTCTTACATTGTATTTTGATCAGTACCCGATAATAGTCTCTGATTGTACGCATGAGTTTTGTTGTCAGTACGTCCATGCTCATTCAGTGTAACGTTTGAATATGAACTTCATCCTGTTTTAATATTTAAATGTGCATTAATGTTCACCCTGTATTTGAATCGTCCATCCAACACTTGGTAACACTGTGTACATTATGCTACACATCTATAATTATTGAAACCAAGAGCAGATCCCACTTTTCTGGCAGCACAACAAATCTCAGCACCAATTGAAAGAATAATTTACCTTTTCACTGTTTATTCTGTTTAGCTTCATGTACTTTACTGAGCCAGTAATTGTGACAGAMGCTGAGCATGTCAGTTAGAGTTAAGTCCAAAGCTTTGTCAGGTCCATGTCAGTTGTATCAGTGAATCCCAATGAATGTGACTATCTCTAACTACATAATTGCAACGGGATTACTATTTTATCATTCCCTTTCAAGCAGAAGGCCTTCCAATTGTGGATTGTAAAATAAATCATTATCCAAAATTGCTGTGAAATAACAGACGTGCTGGCAGGAGTGAGAGAGTTCCTCGCCTGAATCTCGTACACACACATGCACTTACACACACAAGAAAATGGACTGTGATGAAGGCACACAGTGAGTTAAATGAGGGGAAATAATAAGGAAAACGGAGGTTATCAGGGCTCTGAGCCTGGTTCATTCAGCCTGCCAGACTGCAAGTCATCACATATGCAGACTTTACTCCAGCGTCAGGGCTTTCTCTCCCTCTCCTTCTGTTAATGGACTCTATTAGGATTTGGCTTGTAAGGGGAATAGGAGTGAAATCTGAGGTCAGTGACCCTCCTTCATGTGTTTGACTCAGGAGTTTCACAATCATACCTGCCAACACTGTTTCATCATCACCTGACCTATCATCATTGATGATATCTGCTTCACTTACGCCCTTCCATTCACTCATCACAATCATCGCCATCACTCACGTCATCAAAAATTGTATTGCAGTGTTTTTGTTACATTGCCRGTTTCATTATAATCCCCCTCCTAAGACACACCCCTCCCTTCCCTTTTAAATAATGCATATTTCCTTAAATGAACCACCAAAATAATTAGATTCTACACCTAATTATCATGTTGGAATTACCAGAAGACAAGGAAGATCTAAGAACGTTGCACACAAACCAGATGAGTGTTTGTATTTATTTATTTTATTCCTTCTGTGCCACATTTAAGCTACACAAACATAATAATGTTTTTATCTACGAATGCAGATTGATATCTAGTTATTTTTAAGACCTCCATCYACACTACTCCAGGTATTTAAAACTGATATTTTTGGATGCATTTGCACCAAGTTTTTGGTCAGAAAAACTGATATGTTTTAAATACAAATGCAGAGCTTTTCTACCCAAGTAGACTTTGTCTTTTTTTTTTTTTATTATCCATTAAATTACCCCAGAGTTGAAAGAGAACACATCCAAATTCTCATGGACTCCCATTGTTTTTTATYTTCAATCTTGAAATTAAAAGGCTTTTTAACTTGTCATATTTCTTACAAAAAACGCTATAATTTAATTAGTTGGAAAGCTTGTCAGTCATTTTATGTTGTTCCCAGGTGCTGCCAATCAGGTGCCTGGTATTAGATTCGTTGCCAAGAAATGTTATGACAAAGAAATAATCTACCAAACACGRATTTCCAACTTTTTGTGCCACCTATATAAATCACATGTATCTATCAGACATTTCTAACACTTATGGTTCAACATTTTTTTCAGTGTAGCTTAAGTTTTCCACAAATGTTTGTTTAAGGCCTTTTTTTCAAATTATCATTTCTGTTTGCCTACTTGATGAAGGATAGTGTTCTGCTCCTCAAAATATGCAAGAATCACAATTGAAAGTTGACAATTGTTGAATTTTCATGCAATAACTGCATTTCTTCTTGATATTTTT